TGATTCACTTAACAAACATGGCAAAAAAAGTCGTAAAATAGGACAAAGCTCACTTAACAAATTTCTCACTTAGCAACATAAATTCTGTGCTCAATTGTGGTCATAAGCCAAGGACTAACTGTACTATAAGTATAGCTTGTCAACACTGAACCTAGAAGGATGCTAGACCCTAAATCTGTTCTATAAGAGGAATGCATTTCCACTTAAAAAGGTATATCGCTCAAATTCTGAAAGTCATTCATTGAATTGAGCATTTACTCTATCTGGTTCAAAATCAGTTTATGTTCCTGCATCCAACACCTTAGAGTTTAAAGACATGTGATGTCTCCCAATATATCATATCCCCTTTGCAGGAAGAGAGCAGTTGGGTATCATCGGTATTCAAGGTAGCAACTAATTCTGTACCCACTTATGATTGTTTCCAGTATCTTCAGAAAGCTATTAAATATCATGGAAGACAAGACAAAGATATCAAGGTGACTGCCAATGTCACTTCCTGATAGCTCAGAATGGTAAAATGGTAAAAGGAAACCACCATAAACTGATATCATCAAAAACCTTCAAGCACGCAAAAAAAAAAATCAGTATTATCAAAATTAATCGAAAGGTTCAAGGATATCAATAAGAATGGACTCTCCATGTCTTCCAATACAGGTAGTCCTCGACTTCCAATAATAGTTCATTTAGTGACTGTTCAAAGTTACAACAGCAATGAAAAAAGTGACTTATGACCATTTTTCACGCTTAGGACCATTGCAGCATCCCCGTGGTCACGTGATCAAAATTCAGATGCTTGGCCATTGACTCATATTTATGACGATGGCAGTGTCTGGGGTCATGTGATCGCCTTTTGCGACTTTCTGACGAGCAAAGTCAATGGGAAAGCCAGATTCATTTAACAACCACATGACTAAGTTAACAACTTCAATGATTCACTTAACAACTGTGGCAAGAAAGGTGGTAAAATGAGGCAAAATTCACTGGACAAATGTTTCACTTAGCAATATAAATCTGGGACTCAGTTGTGGTCGTAAAATGAGGATTATCTATACAAGAGACTTTTCTTGGCTCCTTGGAAGAACAAGAGCCCTTTGTAGTTTTACTCTTCAGAACTCTCACTTACTTTTTTTCCCTCTTATTTCCTATATATTTGTGGCTTCTGAAACTCATGCAGTCTCAAAGGTACTTTCAATTTTATGCTATTATCTCAGCCCTTTCATAGCTAAGACCTGTCCTGGATTTGGCTCCTAAGCTTTGGAATCAGACAATGTCTTATTTTTAAGGCATTTAAATAGAGTTTTAAAATATGTTAACTGCAGTTCAGGGTAAACTGGAAAAAACTGATGACAATCTGGGGAATATTAAAATCTAATCTTCTGCCAAGCAGGTAACATGGAGATATTTAAATTTATTGACATATGGATTTAATTCCATACTTTTATTGGAAATTGTGATAGGATATAGAATTCATGTTTAATTCAGTTTGCTGCAGTCCAACCACCTTCTCCACAACTTTTCCCAAAAGGTAGACATTGAAGACTTAATAAAAATTATCCAGAACTGTTGAATCCAGAAATAGTTGGATTCTTAAGAAGTAGGTAGGCTACTGCCTTCTTTAAAACAGATAGAACAGGTTTATTTTTTAAAATAATAAATTCACTAACGTCTGGGCTAAATTACAGACCATCTCTTTTAAACAATTGTAAATCAGAAAAATCATGTTCTTCCATGTATTCTACACATCTATGCAATTGTATTCATCAGTTCAATTTCTGTGCATTCTTATCAGGTTATAAGGATGACCACTCAAGATAGGACCTTCATAGTAGCATCGTAGCAGTATGAGTGTTGGGGGGGGGAGGTATTTAGTGTAAATAGATATACATGCATAGATACACACAAGTTTCCCCTTGATGTGGTGCCTTCTTGTGGCGTTTTCAACACCACGTGAAGACTGCTTTGTTCATCCAAGAATGTTTTTTCTCAACATTTTTTTCATCAAAGCATTTCTGAAATTTCGTTGTCTTTGTTGTTCCTTTTCATTACCACAGTTTATATTCCAATTGTGTTTTTTTTCCCCCTGTGGTCTACCTAAAGAACTTTTATTAATAAACAAGATACCTCCAAATATCTGTTTGCTCTTCAATTTGTTGAATCTCATCCCCCAGAATTCTCACTAATAACAAAGCGAGCCAAGGAATTCTGGAAGTTAAAGTTCACATTTCTGAAAACACTCAAGTTGGGAGAAGCTACTGTGTCATATCAACAAACAGATGAATAATAGTTCCCCAATGTTTTCATTATTTTTAGAGATTCCTCAAAAGAATGAATGTTAAGCCTGTTTGTCCATGGTTCAGATTGACCCACAATTTATTTCAGCCAAAAAAATATCTGTTTTTTGCATTCCAGGTGGATTACTTTTGATCTCACATTTGCTCAGAGAAAAAGTGCAAAATAAAATGGCCACAGCAATTATAGATAGCTTTAAGCTTAACTCTTCTACAGTCATCCTTGTAATTCAATTTAAAGCATTCCATTAGCCTTTGTGGCAGTAATAAACTTTGTCTGCAGGATCTCAAGCAGACAGTATTGCATTTCTTTTCAAATTAATGCATTTATTTCAGAACTGCAGGTTGTCTCTAGAGTAATAGTCTGATTTAAGAAGAAAACATGGTAGAGGGATAAGGAGAGGTGGTAATAGATGCAATTCTTATATGATTCTAGAATTGCATACACAGTAAATATTTCCACCAGAAAACACTGATAAACCGGTTTATAAATTATGGCTATGCCTAATTATAGTTTTAAGACATGATTCTGCAATTAGTTTTTAACAAAGAATTCCATAGAATGGAGCTAAGATGTGGGGTTATTTGGGTGTCCTCTCCTGGAGTCTGTGTCTCCGAAGGGTTTGAAGTTTGGAGACAGAAAGAACAAATGCTATCTACACCCTGGAAATCTCAGAGCTGATTAAATCCTGAAATTATTAGCATGGGCTAAATTGAGAGGAAGGCAAGGAATAATGATGGGCTTTGGCAGCTCTACCAACTGTTATTGTTCTTTTGGATTGAAGCATCTACAAGAAGACATTAAATTAATTGATTGAATTGATTAAATGTTAGTAGTAGATTAAGGAGAGAAAGAACTAGATGTGGAAGGGTAGTTATGAGCAAATCCGATTTAAGGAAAACAAATGCCTTGTTATTCAGTTTGACTTTGATTTGCTTGGTTAAGGTTGAGTCCCCATTATTTCATGTGTATGGCTGCATTTCTAATGATAGCAAACTAACCCTTAGGATCATCAACCAAAGAATAGACCCCTGCTGTAAAGCCAGATGCTGGTGTTACCTTCCTTCTCCTATTTTCCCCACCACAGCAACCCTGTGAGGTAGGCTTGAGCTGAGAGAGACTGGCCCAAAGTTACCCAGTTGATTTTCATGGCTAAAGCAGGACTTGAACTCATGGTCTCCTGCTTTCTAACCACTGTCTGGAATAACAATAGAACACCTAAAATGCAGTAGGAACAAATATATGAAGAGTGAATAGTCTGAGAGGAAGAGGAAGATTCGAAAAAAGTTTTGATGGGATGAAATTGATGAGATCCTCAAAAAAGAAAGAAGTCAGAAGATTAAACCACAAATGACAATATACAAAGGGGGTTTGGATATAGATAGAAACAAGGATAGTTTGCAAAAAAAGAAAAGTATGGTGAAATACTCAGAGGAGTTGGTAAACAAGATACATTATATTGTCTCTCTCTCTCACACACACACACACATACACACACACATACCTTCCTTCCATTTCTTTTGCTTACTATTTCTTGCTCTCTTTATGAACTTCGCAACTTTACTTATCTGAAAAAGAAATAATATGGTTGATATGTATGTGTGGATATCACAAAGTTTTGGTTTATTGTGGATATGTAGATTTGTATACTACTTGTATTCCTTTTTGGATGTTGTTTCTGTACTCTGTTCAGCAAATATTTTTATAAGGAACTATATAAAGTATAATAAAATATCATGCCAGGAGCAGGAAACTTGCCTTTCTTCACTCCTTTATCCATCCTACAGTGTCACAAAGATCAATTCTAAAATATTATAGTATGACCAAGAAGGGTCTAGGACAGTGGTCAACAACCTTAAACAATCAAAGAGCCATTTGGACCCCTTTCCCACAGAAAAAAAAACACCGGGAGCCACAGAACAAGCATATGTAGTGAATTAAATGTTCTGTTTTCTTCTGAAACTTTCCTTTTCTTGGATTTATCTATGACTGGCCTACTGGGGGTCAAAAAGCTTAATAAATTGTGCATCGGTGGGTGTTGCACATTGGCGGTTGTAACGCATATTTTGAGCAACAGGAAGCCTCAGCAGAGGGATGAAAGAGCCACATGCAGCTCCAGAGCCGCGGGTTGCTGACCCCTGGTCTAGGACAACTCACTGTGGCCGACTTGCCAATGGCCAACTTGCTGCAGGACAACTCACCGCAGGATAAGAGTTATACTAATATCAAAGAAATGGTGGAATAGAATCATTAAAGAAAGGATGCCAAAGGAGGAAGAGAATGAAATGTGAATGACAAAAAATAAAATAATGTCTTAATTATTTTAAATAATTAAATTGAATTGTTGAATTATGCTGTGTCAAGTTATACCATAGCGAGTTGGCCATGATGAGTTGTCCCACTGCGAGTTGGCCATGGTGCGTTCTGCAGTGAATTAACCATAGCATGATGGCCATGGCAAGCTGGCCACGGAGAGTTGGCTGTGGTGAGTTGTCCCATTCTATGAGCAGGAAAATGAATATTGACTCGGACATTATATGGTAACCCACAGAATACTTTGGACAAAGTGATTTTTGTTGTTTTCTTTGCAACTAAGGTACTGAATATTTGTTACATGCCATAAAAATGCTAATAGTGATAATTCTAACTCTTTTATTCTGAGTACATGCATACTGAGATTTGTCTCTTTCTATTTCCATTTTTTCTTCTAGCCACTTCTACATCTACTACTGGGACAAGTCATCTCACAAGATGTGATGTGAATAAGAAAGGCTACTGTGTAAATGGGGGTGAATGCTTCATGGTCAAAGATCTTCCAAACCCAAGATATTTATGCAAGTACGAGAATCTTTCCAGTGAAGCTACAGTATTTATTGCTTTAATACATGTTTCATATGGTAACACTGTTTAACCTAAAGAATATATGTTATGAACTGATGACAGCTTTTTTTATCCTCCAAAATAAGAGTTAAACACCATCCCAAGTCATTTCCCGTGTTTCCAAAACATGCAGATACCATTGTGTGTATGGTTTAAATTAGATTAAATCCATATATAAAATTCTTCAGCCAAAAAACGAATAACAATCTGTTAGACACAAAACATCACTTTTTTTTCAAAAAAAAAAATTCCCCAATATATTAAAATAAAAGGACCACTATTTTGTTGCCCAATTTTCTTCCAGATGTATTGGACCATCATGCTCTGTTGACATGGCCAATGACTGCATTTCATAAAAATTATCAGACCCATAAGTCAACATAGCTGGAGTGAACCAGTTTGAAAGACTACACAAAATGAATCTTTGGTTTGACTAGATGATATTGTTCATATGGTAAAAGCATTCAAAAATTTTAATGTTATTTATGCATTTATTTGGAGAGAAAAAATCATGTTTTAAATTAAAACACCATTTACAAAATACAAATATGAAATATACACGTGCATATGCTTTCTCTCTTTCATTAAAACAAGACGTTCTTAAATTATTCCATAATATTTGCTAGATCAATGACCTGTGACAGCTTACCATTGTGGTGGGGCTTGCTACAATTGGTTTTCCAATATTTTTCAAGCTGAAAGTTGTTCCAGAAACATTGCAACATAAGCACATACTCTGTGAACAATTAGATAATTAATTGGATGGAATTCTAAAATGTCTTATATTTTGGCTGCATCAAATAAAGATGGCTTATCTTTTATAATTGCTTTATGAAATGCAACTGAGAGGGGAGAAAAGCTAAAATATTCTATTTCTTTTTTTAGAAGCTAGATCCCAGAGTTTAGTTAACCTTGGTACTATAGTACCATATCCATTTTCCTCTATAATCCTGATTTAACATGATGTAAATGCAGCTGTTTAATATTCATATTATCAGCTTCACACCAAATTAAGAATACAATTGCTTCTTAATGGAAATTCTTACATTCCTTTGTTTTCAATAGCCAAAGAATGTGTTTGAGCACAATTGGAAATTATCAAGTGCTTTCCATTTCATACCATTTCTACTGTATTTCTCATAATAACATTCAAGTCCTGATATCATTATAATGCAAGAATGGATAAAGCAGAAAGATCAATTTCATTCAGATAAAATGTCATCCTAACCCTAGTTAAAATGTTCAGACTGGAAAACAGATTTGACCAGTGAAGTGTTATAAAGACCACATTGAAGAGAAATATGGGTCTAGTTTTTGACAAGCAAAAGTCCATGAGGAAGCCCAGTTCACTTAACAACCGTGTTACTAATTTAACAACTGCAGTGATTCATTTAACAAATGTGGCAAGAAAAATTGTAAAATGGGATAAAACTCACTTAACAAATTTCTCACCTAGCAACATAAATTTTGGGTTCAATTGTGATCGTAAATTGAGAACTACATGTACAGTGTTTTGATACAATTTGTCCTAGAAGGGAAGGATTTAGATATTTCTGTTTTTGCTTTAATAATAAATTCATATTTATTATATATGATTTACTTTTTGAAAAGCAAAGCAATATTTCCTTAAACTGAAATGCAAACCATAACATTTCAGACAATTTTTCTATTATCAAACACTATCCGTTTAGATGTCAATTTGGGATTCTAATGTCTTTATAGCCAACAAAGTTATCAGTAAAATAGCTGATATTAAGAAAAATTCCTAACAACTGAAAACTCTCATTCTAATTCATATCACACAGTCATAATCATGTCATTGTTTTGCTAATGTCAACCTTAGTCTTCAAGCGTTGAGAATAATTAATACAGTGTTGGGAGGTCTTAAACATGTAGTCAATGTGTAATCAACACTGCTACAGTGTTGTTTGTGATAGTCACTCTTGCTTTTATAACTTTTTTTTAAAAAAAAAAACTTTTATTAACCAAACCACATGTTTTGCTATTTTCAGAAATAATCAGAGTTTGAAAGTGGAGTTCTGGTTGGGTTAGGAAGAGAGAACGCAATTTGTTTTGCGTTTTTGGAAAATTAATTCATGCCCACCAATTATCGGGATCCATAAATAATGGTGCTATTTACTCAAAAGGAACTCTTGGTATTGGTATTCCTAAAACAGGACACATTTTTTACAGGACATTCTGGTTTATTTACTAATAAGGCCTTTCTGAAACTTTCACAAGCTAGATCGGTGATCAAATAGATTTTTAAAAATCTTAGCATCTCTGATTTGAAGAAGCCCTTCTGAAAAATAACATTTGACACATACAGTCCAATAACATTTGCTGTACTTCAGCAAAATAATTTCAAAGTGCCTTAAATACTATACTAGTTTGATCAGGGTATATTTCAAGTAGACTGTGACTACTATATAGGACTTAGAAAAACATGTTTGGGAGAAAATGATCCTTCAATGTTAAGCTTGAAAAAAAATGTTGTATACTTTTAAAATCCCAACAACTCCATTTATAAAAACAGTAACCTGTGACTCATCCGTGTTACTTATTGAATTTTCAAATAATGGCACTTTTCTCTTTATGCAAGGAGGGGAAAAAAGGAATGATCCATTGTCTTTTTAGATTTTTTTTAAAATAGATAATTGAGATTGGAAAAGTTTAAAAAAAACAAAATATTTAAAAAGAGATTGAATTTGGATTGCATTCTCTCTTTCAATATGACATTTCTTTTCATCCCTTGGATTCAAAATAATGCTGAACAAAAGCAATGAAATCTAGTTCAATTCTAGTGGGGATTCTTTTCTGTTTTTTTACTCTATAGCAATAGCTATAGCAGTGATAGCAATAAAAAAACACATTTTCTCTGACAAACCCAATGTGGGCCACTGTAACCTTTCCCAATGGCTTTGAACTTGTGTCCTAAAGAAAGTTCAATAATCCCCACCATTAAGTTACATAGCATTTTATAGATGAGATTTTCTTCTCTCTCTTTTTTTCCTGCAAGGATATGAACAATATCCTTTGCTGTTTCAGGAAAATTGGGTGCATGATGGACCTTTGACTATGCTGGCTAATTAAAACCACCAGACGGAGATTGTCTAAATGGACAGAGGAAATGATAAATGCTTCCTTGTAAGATTATAAATTACCTGCAGTATTAAAGGACAATACAATTAGAACATGTTTTTAAAAAACTATTATGCCTATTTCTCTTTCCTATATTATTATATTCCTTTTTAAATAAACTCCATTCAGACCAAAGTATTTGAATGTGTACTACAGTCCCAATTTCACATATTTTTGGATTAAATAATTAATTAGACCAAATTAATGGTGGAATATCCACACTCGTGGAAAATATGATATTATAATCTGCCAACTGGTATAAATCACATCAAAGTAAAGACTCTTGAACTAAGAAATCAACTTTACCTAGAAACTGAACTAAATTAATAGCTTTTTTTTTTAATGTATTTGTTTTGCTGACCATTCTTTGTTTTATAAGCATTAAAGACATGTTTAATCCTTGCCAATCTGCCAGAAACTATTAAAATCTTATAACCCCTCATTTAAATTCTTGATCTATATCTATTACAGTTCAGATTCTGGTCTTGAGACTTAACTGTAACCAATTGAAATGTTCATACATACATATATACATGCATACCTACCCATTATGCTATTCCCTTTGAGTACAACACAGAAAAGACCAATAAACAGTGACCCAAAGGAATTAAACACATGAAACAAAGAAAAAGAAAAGCATATAGATATTTCTTCCATCATGGATGTAGTGGAATTTCATCTGAAGAATTAGGTGTAGAGGTTGAAGAATCTAGAAAATGCATCTAATGCAGCGTCCTTGATAGAATCAAAAAGAGCATTTTGGGAGCAGAGCACTCCTATATGATGAAGGCTCCCAGTTTTCGCCTGAGCTAAATTCAAGTCCTGTTGCTTAATTTCCAAGAGTTTACATCCTCTGAGCAATTGCTTGTTTCAATATGAGTCTGTTTGATCTTTACAGAGGACTTTTTATTACCAATTTTCCTGAGACATGGGTACAAATCTCTTTTCTTTAGCTAAAGCTTTGGAGTTTCTTCTTGAAGTCCTGTTTGGCCAGTTTGCCTCCTTTATTCTGAATAATACTGAGGATCAGCTTTTCTATTGGACACTAATAATAGAATAAATTTATTTTTGCCTCTGATTTTATACTGTTCTTGCAACCGGTAGTATTATATTGTTGTTTTGACATAATGCTGCCCAGAATCCATTTGGCTTGGCCAAGTAATAAATTTAAATAAAAGAAAGAAAGAAAGAAAAAGAAAGAAAGAAAGAAAGAAAGAAAGAAAGAAAGAAAGAAAGAAAGAAAGAAAGAAAGAAAGAAAGAAAGAAAGAAAGCCAAATAAATAAATATTGCATTCTACTATTTCATCATTTATTTTTTATTTGAAAATATTATGCTCTGCTTTGGTAGTTTTGTAGTCCAACTATAACATAAAAGTCCATGTTTCTGCATATTTATTAAAATATCAATGGATATGGCAGTAGAGAAAAAGATAATATCTTTAATTGATCTTGCCATCAGAATAAATGCTGAAAGCACCAATGAATTCATGGTACAGCATTCTAGAAAGAGAAACATCCCCTGAAAATTTGACATCAGGATTACTTTCTTTGATTGTATGTTTTAGTTTTGATATTTGTGGTTGCTTTTTTTTGGTGACACAGAGTTTGTTTAAATAAAAATGCAATGCTTTTGTCATCCATTTTCATTTTAAATTCTTTCTCCAAGGTCTTTTAGAGGAGTCTCATGTGCCATAGAAACAGAATAGGATTTTTTCTACCCCTCGGTTCTTCTCTTTTTAAATTGTGGATCACATTTTTGCCTTTAGGTGTCAGGATGGATTCTCTGGACCACGATGTACTGAAGTTGTACCCATGAAAGTCCATAAATTGCCAAAAAGTCCACAAAGTATGTTTTAAAATAAGATGAAATGTTTTTTCCCCAAATTACAGCAATCAAAATCGCTATCATTTGATGTTTTCATTCTTCAGTTTAAAATGGGATCTTTTTCTTTTGCCTTTGACCATTCTGTGCAGATTTGACAGCACCAAACACCTATTATTGTTTTGGTAATTGCAGCAATTTTTTATTGTTCTGGTTGTCATTGCAAGTATTCTTATCTGGAATCTCTGAGGCTTTAGCCTTAATTTTAAAAAAAAAGTTGGCTAGTGTAAACATGGCATTCAAGTTCACTGACTAATGACAATAATATCAAGTTGTCATTTCAGGTGGTGTACTTTTATATTTACTAAAATTAATCACCTTCCTCCTTAAATTGGTATTTGTGAAGCCATTTTTTTTCCTCAAAACTTTTTCAGCCTCTTGGCAATAAGAAACAGGCCCAATTTCTGAAGATGAATCCATCAAAGTTCTGGCTGCAGTCACTCAAGGAGCCTCTTAGCATATAATTGCCTCTTTTTCTTTTTCTCTGTTTTCTCTTTCTTTTTGTTTTTGTTTTTACTCTCAGGTGCCCAAATGAATTTACTGGTGATCGTTGTCAAAACTACGTAATGGCCAGCTTCTACAGTACGTCCACTTCCTTTCTGTCTCTGCCTGAATAGGAGCATGCTCAGTTTGGTGCTGCTTTCTCCTAGTCGCATCTTTCCTCAGATTTTCCTTTGTTACTAAATGGATTCCATGAACCTTAATCTTGATTGCTTCTGCCTGTTTGCATGGTAATGATTGTCCAAGCAATGTCGAAACTTCAGCAAAATTGGAATAATAAAAATGAAGGGGGGGATGGTATTGATTCTAATTAATAGCTGTTCAAGGAGCTAAATATGAACATAAGGCTAAATATCATTACAAAGCTGTAACTATCCAAATCTAATCCAAATAAGATATTTCTGAGCAATAGTCATGGAGGAAATTGGATATAAAACATGATTACACCCTCCTTTATCAAATATAATCAATAAATAGTGCTGAAGAATATGTGGACTAAGGACAATGGTTCTAGTTAATTTTTTAAAAATGCCCAACTTAACATAAATAAGAGAATGCCATTTATATGGCATACATGTCACAATTCAGATTTATATATTGAATTGCAAGATTAACTGATTCTGATTAACTGAATGTTAATATATTTTGCTTTGCCCTCATAGCAAATGTTTAGTAGGGTTCTAAAGAGCTATTTTAGAGCTACCCAAGTACTTGGGCAGACCCAATGAGATTTTGGAAAACAACGATCTTTTGTAGTCTGATTTCCTATAGAAATGTTATAGACTCTATCTCCCCATAATTCATAACCAGTAAATCCAAATCTAAAACTGGCCATGAGATTATACGATGTGAACACTTAATGACTGCAGAGTTTGCCATAGAGATTTCTTACAGCTCTATGCATATCCAAATATTTTTGATTAAGTTGTCAGTGGAATACTAATGCTTTAAGAGTGTCATGTTCATTTAATACAGTGGCGTCCCTTCTTTAAACTCCTGAAGAAGCCTGAACAAAAAAAAATAATAAAAAAATGACCTGCTTTATTGAGTAGCAGAGAGAACCTGTTTTTGCACATGGCCCAAAGCATTTCTTTCAAATCATTTTTGAAATGTGCAGAGCCCTACAAAACAGTCCTTGATGGTTTATTCAACAGCAGTGAAAAATGTCAGCTGCTTCATGATGATCCTGTTTAATTTCCATTGGCAAGGTAGTATGCATCAGTCATACAGTATGGGTTACATTTTTCATGTCTGTGAAAAAAATATATGAATAATTTATAACCATCCTAAGCACTCAGCTTCTAAATTAGAAGCGATTTCCCAAGGAGGGGTTTTTGAATTAATATTTCCTGATATTTTTCTTGTGTTAAAAAGTCAATTAGTAAAGAGCTTGTTCTTGATATTTTCATTACCCAAATATATTTGAAAGAATTTTGTAACTTCTTTTCTATTATATAAAATCTTCAGGAACCAAGAATAAGTGAAGGCATAATATGAACAGGAAGTCTCTGCTTATCTAGAATAACAATTTAGCCCTTTATTTGTAGATAGATAGATAGATAGATAGATAGATAGATAGATAGATAGATAGATAGATAGATCGATCCTGACTTCAGCTCTATCTGAACGCTAAAAAATTCTGGACTTCTTAAATATGTTTACATATCATGATAACCCTTTTACCTAATAAATATATATACCAAAGGTCTCTTTTAAAGCCTTAATAATATATTAAGTGAATATATATTTGCATCCCACAAGAATAATCCAAAATGAAACAGTTCCAAATAATCAGATATAAGTACAGATATACAAAAAAAGGGGGGGTTTGTTTTTGTTTTGCTAATTAGTATAGTAACTTCAAAGTTACATTTATGCAGTGGTTTGCCTGTATATTATGTGAGTAGCTGTAAAATACCTAATGAGGATTTATTTTATAGTGTAGTCTAAGATAAAATGAATACCAAAAAAAAATAGACAAAGTAATGCTATAAATTGTAGTTACTCCTGATACAAATAACTTTTTTAGAAAATTGCCAAATTGCTTCTTGTATATTAATCCCATCAATAACTCTTGCAACATCACAAAATTTAATTCTCAGTGGTTTCCAGTTCTAAGACATATAAGTAGTCCTCAAATTATGTCCATTCACTCAATGCCTCTTCAAAATTACCATGGTGCTGAAAAAATGGATTTATAACCCAATTTCAAAGTTCCAGCCATTGCAGCATCCTCATAACCACGTGATGAATATTTGGGGCAGCCCACTATTATGATCAACCTCATGTGGCACCATCCTCTCTAATTGCCACCTGGGGCGCCTGCTCCTTAACAATCAACTGTGATACCCACCATCCTGCCTTTTAATTGCATTCCATATACAGCCAATTAAGATTAGTTTTGAGGATAAATTTTACCTTATCTTGTTGGCATTCAACAAGCAGAGGTCCACCAGTTTCAGGCAACATAGAAATCTCCTTTGCTGCAAAACAGACAGTCAGCGAAATTACTAAAAGTAATTTTTACTTGGTTCAGGCTTATCTACCTTTGAAATTAGAGGTGGGGGTGGGGGTAATGAGGGGTTCCTAAGGAGATAATAGAATAAGTCACTATGTTCTGTCCTACAGCCAAATTATTTTGGATTTTAAATTGTTTCATTACAATTTTGGTAACTTCATTAACTTCATGCATAGTTGATGATGATAATGGGGCTCAACTGCAAAGCACTACAGAATGGAGCTTAGGGGTATGACACATGTCTTCATAGGCAGAACTGCCTAAACAAACAAGCAAAAAGAAAAATTACAAAGCTGCTCCCACCACTCCCGACTCAGTGAAAACGTAGTCTCAGAGTTTTAACAGCAAAGTACAAGCAAAGTGCTATCACTTTGCTATTTATAGGCTGTGTCCCTGTGTGATAATTATTTAAATAAGCTATTATAAATTTTAACATTCAGGGCAGACATAGCAAATAAAACCATAGTAGCTAAATAATACTGTGAGTGTATGGAGTAATATATTTAGCACTGAACTTATTAGCAAGCATGACTGAGACTTTCAAAATCAAGAGAACATATGAATTCCAAATGTTAATTGGAATGTTTTGCATTTATTCTGGAGTTAGAATAAGCAGTGCATGTTCCTTATGCATGATTTTTGCTACCAGAATGAATGAATGAGCAAACGAATGAATAAAAATTCAACTTGCCATTCAATTATTTCATATATAAGCCGTTTGAAATTAGTGAATTTATCTGAAATCCATCTGGGTTGTCTATCTTACCTGTGAACTACCATATGCAATAATATTTGTGCATGAGCATGTCACTAATTCTACTGAAACTTCTATGCAACTGTAACTAATATGTATTGTTAGTAGTGTTCATGTAGGCAAGTAATACTGGCTCTTAAGTATGTGGGAAAACCTATGTATTTTATTTAACCCTTAAAATATAACTGATTGTACACCGCTGGGAATATTTTAACCTATAAGAAGTGAAAACAAATAGAGAATATATGCACCTATAGAAAGGAATTAGCAATAAATCCTGAGTAATAAATACAGCAGTTATAGTTTGATACAAGAATTAAATAACATAGCAAAGCTGTGAGTAATCACTGCAAGTTTTATAGTCAGCAGTCTAATATTATCATTTATTTTTTAAAAAAAACATCATGCATTATGCACATTCCCAATATTGCAATGAAGTAGATTTTCAATCCATATTAGTCTGTCTACAATAGTATCAAACGATTTGAATGAACTAAAGATACAAATAATTCTGTACTTTAGCTGAAGTATCAATATAGTTTCATTGTAACAAATTATGCTGTCTGAATTAATTCCAGAAAATTCAGTAGCTACAACTCTTATATGGGAGGTAGGCATTTGCAACTACACACAGTCCCTTCTTAGTCATTATCTGCTGCAACGCCATTGTTTTTTGCTCCCACTTCTATTAGAAAAAGAAGGAAAAAAATTCACTCGTAAGAGTCAATATTGTTATTATATAGTATTCTGAAACTCATAATGTTTATACATCATTTTATGGTTTTACAAAGTTACTTGTAAATCTGCCTCTGATCAGACTGATTCTCACTTTTTTTCCTGAGTCTTAATAACATACAACAATTTCAGTAATTCTTCTCATTGCTATTTATGATCTAAGAAGCGTTCCAAATCAGTTTTAAAATCGCAGAAGAGGCTACTACCACTTCAGGTACAGAACGGTGTAGATTTATACTTTGTCCCCACTAATGTGAGCTTGGAGTAGACTAAACTTAAGTTTTCCTGCAGCAGACTAAAGCAGTGTTTCTCAATCTCACCAAATTTTAAGATGTATAGACTTCAGTTCCCAAAATGCTGACTAAAAGTCCACACATCTTAGTTGCTAAGATTGAAAAACAAGGAACAAGGTAGTTTTATGTATAGCAAGTTCCAAGATTAGTTCCCTGCTATGGATCATAGCTATACTAAGGAACATGTTTTATATGGGGATATTTTGGACCTGAAATGTGACATAGATGATATAGTAAACCCAGATACTTCAGTAATATCTTTAAGGGTTAAAATACATTGGTGAAGTCATCATGTTATTTAAATTATATACAGGTACCATTGTGTGGTTTGGTTTAGAGCCAATATTTTTCTAAATTGTTTTTTAAAAAGAGCCTGTGAAAGCTTACATGAGCTCTGCCCTATTAACCTTATGGCATTTGTCCTGTCTCAGTGTGCAAACACCTAATAGGTATAATATCCATGTGCAATTTGTTTTTTTCAGTAAGGTGTATTGCTCTTTTCTGAAACTATTTTCCCTTTTCTTTCTTTTTATGTCAACTTTCTGCATTGGCAGAACATCTTGGGATTGAATTTATGGGTATGAACCAATCATTCCTTTTAGCTTGCTGAAAAATTGAAAACTTTTTTTTTTTCATTTCCTCACCTTCAATTCCTAACCAACTTCCTTGTGCTTCAAAAGGGATCATACAGCTATAACAGCCTTTGCCTGCTCCCTATTTACACTTAACTCAGCTCTCATAACCGTACGCCTTGTGTGTTTGTTTGTGTCTGTTTGTATAGCTGTGAGAGAGACCATCTTTTGCGACCTTCTGAGGAACTAAATCAATGGGGATTCATTTAAGAATCATGATAGTAACTTAAAAACTGCAGTGATTCACTTAACAACTGAGGCAAGAAAGGTCATAAAATGGGGCAAAACTTACTTTAAAAATGTCTTGCTTGGCAATGCAAATGTTGGGTCAATTGTGGCCTTAAGGTCTACCTATACAATGGGCAGAAGAGAAAAGAAGGTGGAATACAGAGAAAGTGGGGCACTATAAAATGTGAAGACCAAGCTATGGGCCTTCAGGATTAGGATTTGTTTTTCCAGTTCTAAGTGAAGAGAAATGGGGACTGAACCTGTAATTAATTATTTCAGAGCTACAGTCCTTTCCTTATTATTCAGACCAGAAATATATTTTGAGGTTAAAGAGATGATATGGAAAGGTCTGTTCTTACCACATGACCACTTTTGACCTGTTGCCTTCATCTCCTATTTTTATTCAATTGAATGCTGCTTCAAACTCTAAATTAGACCTTATTCAGGTCTTAAATTTTAACATCTAAACTGTTTCGGCTAGAAATGATTTTAAAGTGGTGGTGGGTACTGACATCTTGTATTTCTAAACATAAGCTTACATGCCCATTGTGATGCTTCAGATGTGCAAGTATGAGTGAGTGGACATCCATTGGCAAAATAGTGGTGTTCTTCCTTTTATATTTTGCTCAGCTCTGGATGCTTTTGTTTCACTGCTGTTTAGGACTTCGCTATGATGCCCAGCCAGGATAATATATGTATTGATGTCACATTACATGCCTGGCAACATTATATTAAGCCCTTGTATGGCCTCATTCATAAAAAAAGGAAGGGAAAATGTAGCCTATAGCTAACACAACCATACTGACATATTTTTTCATAATTATTCATAATTATTTCATAATTATTCTACATTGCCAATTCTAGAACCTCACTATGTGGCAGGACTTTCCCCCGATGTCATATTATTGGCTATAAATCTCATGGTGCAGAGCAGTGGTGGGATTCAAATAATTGAACAACCAGTTCGCCTAGGGTCAGGTTGACTGTCGTGGGAGGCGTGGCTCATCCCCGTCCTCCAGCTCCACTGCACATGCAGAGTAAGCCTCCCGCGATGGCCAACCTGACCCTGAGTGAATCACTTGTTAAACCACCCTCCCCGGCTATCAAAGTGGATCCTGGATGCTTTGCTGCAATTGAGAAATGGGAAATGGAGCGGCCGGCACGAGGGAAGGAGGAGGAGCAGGGGAAAGAAAGGGGGAAAGCGGCCTTCTCCTTCCCTCACGCTGGTTGTTCCATTGCCTGTTTCTCCATTGCAATGCAGGCAGAGCCCAGGATCCACTTTGTTAGCAGGGGAGGTGGGAGTAATTTAACAACTGGTTCACCCAAACTAGTACGAACCGGCTGAATCCCACCACTGGTGCAGAGCTATATTAAAATATATATCCATACCAGCATCATGCTGCATGTGGCCTACAATAGAAGCCAAGTGGATTGAGAAAAGAGAATGTTGGTTTAGTAATGTGAATACATTCCTCGTATCCCATAGCATCTGCATAAATACAGCCATTGGGAAGGAGACATAAAGTCTGCAAAAGAGGATGGGCTTGACAAGAGATTTTGCAAAAAATGCATATTATTAAAGTTCCAAACAAGATCACACAACTCAAGAGAGGATGAGCAGGACTATTAGCGATGAGGAGACTGAAAAAAAATGAGAGAACATTGAATAAGGCTCACCCTGTTTTTGCATTGCACTAAACATCCATAAAAATGTCACTAGAAAGGCACAATGCATCATCTCCATCATGTTATAGCACTGAAAAAAAACCCATATTATTATTATAGTTAATATAAAACACACAACTTGTGCACCCATCCTAGGCAGTGGGCAGGAGGGAAGCAGTCACACAACTTAAACCAATTAATGACTGATGCTATAAAGAGAATTCTGTTAACCCTTTAAGAACTGCATTATTCCCTATGTACTGGATTGTGTTTAGCATGGCTTTTGCTATCTCTGATTATATAGTAATAAGACTCCACTATTTGGCTAATCAATCAGTGCTTTCTGGAGAGCATAGGTTAGGAGTTATGCTGTATGTAAAATCCCTTTAAATTCCGCTTCAGTTCTTACTTTCAAGCATTTTTCTTATTCTTCCTTCCAGTTATCAAGCATGCTGTGCCAGGCCTATAGTTGACTTTTCAACTTCTAACCTTATATTTCCCTTTAGCTTCCTCCTCTTCCTTCATCTGTTCCTTCCCTTCTTCTTTCTCTCCTCTCCCTCTTCCCATATTTGTGTTTGTTTCAATACTTCTACTTCTTGTTCTTGGATTTTTGTTTGTATAATCATTTGAGCATTCTAGTTTTATTTTCTCACAACTGATCCTTCCTTCCTTATGTTCATAATCAGTATTGTTGATTTCTGTATAAATATGTTGAGAAACTTGTTAATCAATGTTTGTATTGGGGTTGGCTTGCAGGAAGCAATAATATGCATTGTATCATAGGTATTAAGGTTTGAAAGACAGTTTTTAAATTTTAGTTTTGGTTTATTTGGAATTTCATAGTATATTTTCTCAAAATATTCGAATATTCCTCAAATATTTTGAGGAAATATACTATGTTTCTAAAAATCTGTTTCCTTTGTGTAAATCTCATTGAATGTAAGGGATTTGAGAGGATAACTAATAGCTCTTAACAAGAACCTAAAAGAGATAATAAATAACCTTTGCTTTCTCCAATGTATATATTTATACACAAATTCATAATTCATGGTAAGAACCTGAAAAATTAGTGTCTGGGTAGCCTATTCCTTATACCTAAGAGTAGTGTAAGAACAAAACGATAAAAACCATAATATAGAATTTTTTTCAAATATTCTCAAATCCCGGCACTATTGTCATTAAAACTAGTATTAGATATTGAAATAAAAAAGAAAGGTACTTTCAATTTCATTAATGTCCTAAAAAAAGAAGTGCCTTTGAACCTCAGGAGATTTAGCTAAATGTTCTTCAGGGGATAATTGATTCCACAAAGGGGAGCTAAACATGAAGGGGCCATCAAGTGCAATTAAATATTTTATCCTGTAATCTGTTATGATCTGAAAACTCAAAAGCTGTTAACATACTCACATTCCTTCATTCGCATGAGTCTGAGCTCACGTATGTTTACTCAGAGGGAAACCTTACCAAGCTCACTAGGATTTACTCTCAGCTAGAGGAGTATAGCCTCCCCTTAATTTGATCATTTTGCCATATGAAAGTAGTGTGCTGAAAATAGCATTTGAAAATTATGCAATAAGCATTTGATCAAATCTTATCTCCCATTTTAAAAAAATCCAGACAGCATGTTTCCCCCCCCTCAAAAATGGTTACATATCAATAAACGGCCCTGCATATCAGCAGACACGACCAGTTATTGGATCTTGGCCAATATGACATAGTCAAACTATATATTGGGTCAGTGTCTAAGAAAATATTTGGATCCTTAGAGCAACAGTGACCACAGAAGTCAGGAATTTGGGACCTGACAGTGCTTATTGCCAAAAATCAATCTGAAACAACAGGCTAAGGCAAAGCAAGCCCTAACAGATGTCTTATCTGCAAACATACAAAGATCACCAGACCAGGAAATTGCCAAATACAAACTATCGCAAAGCAGAAAAGTAACAGATTTTCAAATCCTGTTCCATTGATGACAAACTTGTTTCCAAGAGTACTGATTTTTCCAGTCCCCTTTCTTTAATTCTGAATAGTCATATTCCTAAAAACATTCCCATTATGAATGCAAATTCTTGTTGGTTGCTCACACGATGGTTACTTTGAGGTTGGCAACTGTATGATTGCACAATTTTAAATTAAAAGCTAGATAAATTTTAGCAACCAAATAAGATAAAAAAAAAGAAAAAATACAAAGTTCTGGCTCATTCTGGTGTTTAATCCTGTGCACCATTGGTATCAGTGTCCTAAATGTATCATTTCCTTTGTTTAGCATATAAACTATGTTTTTCTAAGTGGAATGTGATTATCTCTCCAGGCAAAACATTGTTTTGCCCTAAGAATTAGTTCATATTGATTATAGTATCTTAGACTGAGATCACTGCAGTAGAACAGATATTTTTCACTCAAATATCATCATCTTTTCTTTACTATTCAATCAACCATATAACGTCTATGGTACAATGCATATTGCCTATTGGAGGGGTGGATAAACTTAAATGTTACTGTCAGTTCCTGGTGAATTTTGCAATTTTCTCACATGGCATAGTAAAATTCAAAGTAGAATGTAACATTCCTCATGTAAAGATTGGTGTAGACCAGGGGTGTCAAACTGGCGGCCCGCAGGCCGGATACATCACGCACAGGACATGCCCATCCCAGCTCCGCGAAGGAAAAACATTGTGATACGCAATGTGATGCTGCGAATTTGACACCTGTGGTGTAGACCAAAATAATATTGAAAAAATACCTGGATATTTTAAATTGCCACAAGAGACTGTGAAGAGAAAATTGGGAGGAGGGAGGTCCAATCTTTATCCCAGCTTTCTTTGCAAGAAAACCCCATTTTTAAACAAAATGACTTATTCTATCAGTGCCTTGTTTTTATTTCATTAGACAGCTTCATAAAATTTAAATTATGTTAAACAAAACATTGAATTGTGATTTGATTTGATTTAATTAATTTAATTTAAACTTAAATTTAATTTAAATTTAAATTGTCTTTATTTTAAGCTTCTCACATCAGATACTGAATATAGTTTATAATTTTTGAGCATAAAGTTTGTCATACTTTCACTGTAGCTATAAATTGATAGACTGTAAGCTGTATTTAGTGGTCTCTTGTTTTTTCATCCGGTGTACATGTTATAACCATCTATATTTTCTCATTTTCTAGAAGCTGAGGAACTCTACCAGAAAAGGGTGTTGACCATAACTGGCATCTGCATTGCTCTGCTTGTTGTTGGCATCATGTGTGTTGTGGCATACTGCAAAACCAAGTAAACACCCCTTTTTCCTTTTTTCTATAATTTTGTAATCACGACCTCACAAAACAAAACGAACTAAAAAAATATATTTGCATCTTGATACACAATTAGATGGCTTAATAAACTTAAAAAAAATTCTCTGTAAGTTTGTAAGCATAGCTGGAATGTATGTAGTTTGTCACAGCTTTTCATAGGAAGTGATCCCTTAGAATCTAATCTAATTCATGATCCATTGAGATCATTGCAAAAACATCCCATTTGCTTTGAAAGGCTTCCACCTTTAAACTTGTTGTGCCACATGATATTACACACAATGACTGAGCTGGGCTTAAATCCAAGACTGTCTTTATCTTTAGCTGTGTGTGAGATGTGGTGAATCACACTAATCATGAATGTCAAAAGGTGCCTGATAAATGAAAGTTGGAACCGCCAAACTTCTAGCCCCTTCCAATCAATTGGCAACAATTGATGTTGTTGATATTATGGTTTATTATGTAAATATAACCTAATATTGACTTTTTACAACTTTCAGGAAAAGTTTTAAAGCTTTCCTTCACAATCATTATGATTATGTTTATCTTTCCAAATTAAAGCATGGCATCAGAGTGAGCTCTTCAGACAAAAATGTTTCAGACTCAGATCTGTGTATTACTAAGTATATTGGTGATACTTTTTTTTACAGGCAAAAATGTTTACTTTTATGGCATTTAAAGAAATAAAAGACATACCCAACCTTCAAGGTGCCCTTTTTTTCATCTATCCGTCTTCTGAATGGAGAAAAGTCAAAACTTTTATTAAATTTGATAAGATGTCCAAAGTTTTCTATGTATGTTTTCCTTTCCCTGTTGATATTACTTTCAGCAGTTGTGGACTCAGTGAAAGTATTAATCAAGGTGATATCTTAACCACAATTATTTGAATGAATTATAGGTGTGGAAATATTGAGCCTGTTTATCTTTCATTGGAATTTTCCTCTTAGAGTCCCTTAATGAAATGCAGAGAGGTGTTATGGATGTGCAAGAGCCAAAGCAATACTTTTAAATCATTTTAGAAGTCGGCATAACAATAGCAACTGTTATGTAAACAATAACATACATTTTTCAACCGTGATATCTTCTCACTTATAGAAAGTGCACATGCTTAGCTTAGACATAATAGGAAGTTGTAAGAATCAGCTAACCTGAACTTTGACCCTTTAGTCCCCGACCTTTAGCTTCTTTAGCTCTGATGAGGAACCATCACATCCAATTTTAAAGAAAGCTTCATATTCAATTCATGGAACCATAGTGCATTTAAGTCTTGGTTGTATTACACAGAGTCCTACAGGACTCAGGGTCCTTGACATATGGGGGCCACAATTGACCCCCCAAATTTCTGTTGCTAAGTGAGACATTTGTTAAGGGAGTTTTGCCTCCATTTTACAATCTTTCTTGCCACAGTTGTTAAGTGAACCACTGCAGTTGTCAAGTTAGTGACACCGTTGTTAAGTGAATCTGGATTCTCCATTGACTTTGCTTGTCGGAAGGTTGCAAAATGGGACCACATGACCCTGAGATACTGCAACTGTCATAAATATGACAGACATTGCCAAACGTCTGAATTTTGATCATGTGACCATGTGGGTGCTGCAATGGTCATAAGTATGAAAAATGGTCATAATTCCTTGTTTTCTGTCCCGTTGTAACTTTGAATAGTCACTAAACAAACTGTTGTAAGTCAAGGACTACCTGGTTTGAAGCTCCTATTTATTTTTAAGCATCCCACTTCCCCCCACAAGAACCACCTTTCTGATGTTACCTTAGCCAAAATAATAATTATTAAATAATACTAAGTCTACAAGGGCTGCTGACCCCTGATTTGAGAAAACCAAAATCATGCTAGTTCAATATCTCTATTTGAGAGTTTAAAGCAGGAATCTGGCCCAGTAACTGGATTTTTTTCCCCTCATATACACTTCCTTTCTCCTTAATGATATCAGGGCAGGACTTTGGGAATAGGTAACACTGTCTCTTCTTTCGTCAAAATCTTATCCCTGAAGGGAAGGATACCTGCTATCTTTAGTCTTCTGCAGAAGAGGGGTGTTATTTTCCTTTTCGTATATGGAGATAATGGAGGCAACTTCATTTAGGTGGGTGGGGAGGCCTTATTTCCAGTCTTGGGCAGGTCACAGGGAAGGGGTTTTCTCCTCCCCCTCTACTGAAGGAAAAATCAATATATGGAGTGGATGCTGTTGTATGTTTGGACTAACTTCAAGCACATCTTCAGCCCAGTTGAATGCGCAGCTAATGTAACATTCTCTCATCCAAGGGGCAGGAGAGGTCAGTGAGTGATTCAGCATTTTTAATAAATGAATTAGTTGAAAAAGTCTAGCCAGTAATTGCTTGATTCATTCAGAATCAAGATCATTTCTTGAATCCATGCGGGGTAGAACCATTTTATTTCCGATATTTTTTATTTTAGAAGAACTTACTTTTTTTTTTCCCTGTACCTTTACCGACAAAAGTAAACTGCCTAGCAAATAAGCTATAGAAAAACCAACACACAGCCCACAGCTGTACATTATTGGTTGCTGGCAGGCAACAAATTAGCTGGGGAGTTCAAAATGAGGTCTTCCAAAGGGTTCCTGTTCCGGATATATTACAAAGACCTAGCCACAGGGAATAAGGTTTCCAGTGTGCTGTTTTTGCCAGAAAATACAGGAAAGGGCAACAAAGCTACTTTCCTAGAAAATTCTACTCCTCTGGATCTAATAACCTGCCTTTGGTTACATGTATTATAAACCACTGGAGTACAATCTGCTTTCTGTAGCATCTTCATATGATACTGTGATGTAATTGGCTACTGGATAAGATTGGTATAGCTTCAGGATGCCAGATACTATATCAGAAACTTTATTTGTGAATAAATCTTCTCGTAACGTTCGCAAAGTTTAACACTGTGTGTCCATCAGCTCCTGGTATTTCTGAACCTTCAAATGATAAAATTCAGTTCTGTAATGGGAATGTGCTATGGACGATAAAGCTTATAGAGCTATTTTATTCAGTCAAATATTTGAATATTAAAGTATCTCGGTATTTCAAATTCAGGAAGCAGCGGAAAAAGTTACATGACCGTCTCAGGCAAGGCCTTCGATCAGAACGCAATCACAGGGTCAACATGGCAAACGGGCCTCACCATCCTCACCCACCGCCAGAGAATGTCCAGCTGGTGAATGTAAGTTTCGCACAAGCTTTATTGATAATCAGTTCTTCATCAGTATTTGAGTGACATTTAGTCCTTTTAACAATTTATTAAAAAATAGTACTGCTTTCCAAAGCTCTTATTCTCCCACTAGTTGTAAGGCGCAAGAAACCAGGAAGCAAGGCAGTTCAAATGAATACAGATTTATTGTTTGTAACACGCTCTGCAAGAATCGGAACTACTAACAGTCAAAGCAAATAAGTGGTAGATAAGAGTGAATGGAAGTCAAGGTGGGCTAGACTATAATTGCTTGTGAGCGCAAAGGGACTCGAGACTGATACACTTTGTCCCAGTGGTGAGATTCAAAAATTTTTACTACCGGTTCTGTGGGTGTGGTTTGGTGGGCATGGTAGGGGAAGGATACTGTAAAATCTCCATTCCCACCCCACTTCAGAGGAAGGTTACTGCAAAATCCCTATTTCCTCCCAGATCAGCTGGGACTCAGGAGGCAGGGAATAGATGGGGGCGGGGCCAGTCAGAGGTGGTATTTACCAGTTCTCCGAACTATTCAAAATTTCCTCTACCAGTTCTCCAGAACTGGTCAGAACCTGCTGAATATCACCTCTGATTTGACCCCTCCTTTAAGACTCAGCCTGGTCATCTCCTACACTAGTTTGTCAAAACACTGGCAGTAGCTGATTTAACTGAAAACAGTTGTCAAATTATATTTAGATGCTGGTGGGATTGTTTGTGTGGGAAAAATAGGAGGCAGTTATATTAAGCATGTTCCCCACCTTGAATTATGCGTAGAAAACATTGGATAAAAATCTAATAGTAAGAATAATAAATTATTATTCACAAAAGAAACTATTTAAATTTACTATTAATATATTTATTGTTATTATCTCTAAACAGCATTTTGTATAATTTCATGAGATGTTGCAAGGTTCAAATTAAAAGGAAGAAACATTTCTAAAATCAATAAATAGAAGAATGGTTCACTCTAATGCTATAAATGCAAATAATAAAATACAAATGAAAAAACTACCAATAAACAGAAATATATTAAAAACTAATACCAGGACTATAAAAGTACTTTATGAATAAAGTACTAAAAAGCTCACTTAGTAAGTGCTACGTGAATATGCACATATATACCTATATCTGTATATATGTATACAGTATATACATATGTGTGTATGCAAACTGTTGGTGTCACTGAGTTGAGGTATAAATTGATTTTCACATTATGCTTGTGGGATACCAAAGATTAAAGGAGCAATTTTCTGCATAAAGCATTTGTGGCCACAAAAAAAATTGTAACTATCGTAGCAGTGCTAGTTCCAACCCATAAGTAAAAACCAGATGAAATTGTCTCCAGAACTTTCTTGTAGCAAGATAGAGTACATCACTGTAGAAAGCATATCAAAGGAAGATGTGGGCTAGGATGAATGTGCTAGAGAAATCATCTAAAATTAGAATGGTTTTTAAGCAAAAAAAAAAGAAGTTTTGTGGTGCTTCTCTGTTCACAGATTTCACTCAGCTGAGAGATCTAATGAGACAGTTCTCTAAACTTTCAGATTATAAATTGGACCATTTAAAAAAAAAATAATGTAGAAAGCTGAAATTATTGCTGAAATCTGTTATTTAAGGGTTTTCCTTTGGTTGGTAATGAATATGTTTCTCTAAAATAGTTTTGTTGTTCTTTTTACTCTGGGTATGTACATGTAAGGTTACCAGTTACCTATCTGATAAATATAAATTTAAAACTATAATGAACACTATGAATTCTGTGTGGACCATGGATGTACAGTCTGCTGTATGTATTTGTTTTGAATCTAAAATAATGTTTGTATGTGCCACATCTGAGCCTTTTCTTACAAAATTGAACCCATAAAACCAGTGGTGGGATTCAAATAATTTAACAACCGGTTCTCTTCCCTAATGATTTCTTCCAACAGCCAAAATGCTCAGAAAGTTAACAACCAGTTCTACCTAAGTGTTACGAACTGGCTGAATCCCACCACTGCATAAAACTGTCAGAAGAATCCCAGTGGTGTAGTGAATGTGTGAACCCTTTTCTCCTGATTGAGAAAATTCAATATGAAAAACGGATAATTCAGATCTTTGCTTGTTTTAATTTAAAGAACAGTTTCTGGCATTGGTTCTCTTGCATTCATTTCAGCAGAGCTCACGATTTTATTCTGCTTTCAAAATGCGTTCAGGACCCACAACCCAAATTTATTTCAAGAAAAAGCAAAATCCATTACTATGAAGGAATATTTGAGGGTGGCTCACAATATATCTATGATAGTTTAGGTAGTTCTTTTATCTTCCTCAGCAAAGTAAAAAGAAATGCCTGTGCCTTTAGATTAAGTTGTTCTATGCCAGATTGAATGGGATTAATGTCTGTTGACTAGGACAAAAGCGATAAGGACATATTCTCAGAAGCTTCCGTCTCAGAAGAAACATGCATACAGTATGCATATTCTGTCTCTTTTTTTCCCTCTCTCTTTATCTCTCACTCGCCTTCTTTTTCTCCCTCCCTCTTCAGCAACCCCACAAACACACCACCACCACCAAGTAGCTTCCACTCTGAATTGAAATAGACTAAGGCCTGATCCAGTAGTGGGATTCAAAAAAATTTACTACCGGTTCTATGGGCATGGCTTGGTAGGCGTAGCATGACTTGGTGGGCATGGTTTGGTGGGCATGGCAGGGGAAGGATATTGTAAAATCTCCATTCCCTCCCCACCAGGGGTGGGTTCTACTTACCTTTACTACCGGTTTGCAATGGGGCCGCGCGCACAAGCGCAGAAGTTTCTGCGCATGCGCAGAAGTGTTTTCATGATGTCAGGGTCAGTGGGCGGGGCCTCCCTCCAGTTTTACTACCTGTTCTATAGAACCGGTGCGAACTGGGGGCAACCCACCACTGCTCCCCAATCCAGGGGAAGATTACTGCAAAATCCCCATTTCCTCAGTGGGACTCGGGAGGCAGAGAATAGATGGGGGCGGGGCCAGTCAGAGGTGGCATTTACCAGTTCTCCGAACTGCTAAAAATTTCTGCTACCAGTTCTCCAGAACTGGTCAGAACTTGCTGAATACCACCTCTGGCCTGATCAATATACAAGAATTGGTTGGGGAAGTTCCCATAGGCAAGTACAGTACCCAGATAGCAATATACCTTACAGCTGAATCAGTTTTATTGAACATGGAAAATCCTAAATAACCAACAGGGGTCTTGCTGTCAGTTTCATCAGATGCAAGATTTTTACCTATACCAGTATAATTTTTTTTGTATATTTAAAAAGTGTAGACATTTCCCATAGTATATCATTCTCTGAAAGAACCAGTTTGTAGACAAGCTGGACCTATTATTTAGCCACTTCAAAATCAAACCTTCACTACTGCCAGGAGTTTTTATTATACAGATAGTCCTCGAATTGAGACCATCTGACTTCCCCATTGACTTTGCTTATCAGAAGGTCGCAAGAGGCGATAATGTGACCCCAGAACACTAATCATCATGAATATAAATCAGTTGCCAAGTGTCTGAATTTTGATCACATGACCATGAGGAAGGTGCAACAATCATAAGTGGAAAAACCAGTCATAAGTCACTTTTTTCAGTGCCATTGTATCTTTGAACAGTCACTAAACAAACTGTTGTAAGTCAAGGTACCAGCAGTCCACTATTTCTCTTCATTATTTCAGAGACATCAGATGACAGCCAAATTAAATATTTTGAAAGGCTAATTCATAAAATTACAGGAAAAATATTCTATGCCTAATCCATTTCATAGTGAACAAGCTTAACTCCCTGTCATTAAGATTCAGGAACCAAACATGTCATGAACAATTAAGATTGCAAAAATACAGTGAGCAAAAACAAAGAAAAAGGGAAATCTACTACTCATACTGCTCGGCAATAGTCCTATTCCTACCCGTGAATTCCGTTAAAATAGATTTGTTTTGGTGAAAGAATTCTGCCGTTAATAAACTACTGTTTCCATTGAATCACTGTACTTTAATTTGAATTAATTCTAGGAAAGTATCTTCTCATGAGACTAAAGTATTGACAGCTAATTTGAGAAGTACTACAACTTCATTTTTTGAAATGCTTTCATATGTATATACAAAGCAGGGGTGTCCAATCATGGCAACTTTAAGACTTGTGTGAGACTGGTCTATCAGGCAAGAAGTCCTCACCTAGCCATGCTGGCTGGGGTATTCTGGGAGTTGAAGTCCACAAGTCTTAAAGTTACCACTGTTGGACATCCCTGATATAAGGCAGGAGTACAGAATTGTCCAGTAGTTTTTAATTGTGTTATAAATAAAAGTTATGTGTCTGTTTTGTTTAGCAATATGTATCTAAAAACATAATATCCAGTGAACATGCTGTCGAGAGAGAAACTGAGGCATCTTTTTCTACAAGTCACTATACCTCAACTACACATCATTCTACAACTGTCACCCAGACTCCCAGCCACAGGTAGGAGGCTCCAATAAAGCCAACATATTTCTTAACCGAAACCCCAAAGCAAGTTTTAAAAACAGTAAACAGAAGTATTTGAATTTAAAGGTGATAGACTTTTTTGTAGCTGAAATGCTCGAAGTTGCTTTATTCTTCCTATTTTGTTTATTCCTTTGAAAAGAAGCAGGTCTCAGTATCGACATATTAGCCCGCTTCATCATAATTGCTGCTTTGTTTCTGTGGACTTCATATCACACCATTAATTTGCACTTACAGAATTAGTACTACATTTGGACCATGATGAGTTACTGAATTTACTTGGAGCTCATCATTATTCTTTTATGTACATAATTTGGCTTTGCTTGACATAGAATAGTCCTATTCTCTGGCATTGTTCATTATGTCATAATAGTAAAATCCAGGGGTGGGCTTCAAAAATTTTAGTAAGGGGTTCTCTGCCCGGTTGCTGAGCCATGGTGGGCATGGCCTAGTCGACCTCCTGCACCACAGCGGGGTGAGTGGGTGTTTTTGCTCTCTCCAGGCTCTGGAGGCTTTCCTCGAGGCTTCGGGAGGGCGAAAATGACCTCCCTAGGCTCCGGAGACCCTCTGGAGGCTGGAAATGGGCCCATTTCCAGCCTTCCCGAACTTCCGGTAGGCCTGTTTTTCGCCTTCCTCAATCCTCTACACATGCTCTGCACTTACTTGCATCCAAAACGAGCCACATGGGGACTCCTGGGAAGGGCGGGGTACAGTGGGCGGGGCCAGCCAGGAGTGGGATTTGGGGGTTCTCCGAACTGCACAGATTCTTAGCTAGAGGTTCTCCCAAACCCCTGCGAACCCCCAGCAGCCCACCCCTGGTAAAATCTTGAAAATGATGTTAGTTTAAGATTGAGCGTTTATCTTTTTATATTCCCAGCAGTTGAGGAAGAATGATCACCTCAATTCTTCAGCAGCATAATGAATGTAAAACACTACTGCCCAACAGATACACAGAGGGACCTGTCAGACTCTTTCTTTTCACTTTCCTGTTCTTGAATTTTAAAATGTTCTCTTCTGTTTTTCATAACGGCTCGTGGTCAGTTGGAGTAATGGTCGGACCGAAAGCATAATCTCTGAAAGTCATTCAGCCCTTGTGTGCTCCTCAGTTGAGAACAGCCGCCATGCAAGCCCCTCAGGACCTCGCGGTCGCCTCAATGGCATAGCTGGACCAAGAGAATACAACAGTTTTCTCCGGCACGCACGAGAGACACCGGACTCTTATCGTGATTCACCGCACAGTGAAAGGTATCCACAGGAGCTGATCTTAAGAAGGATACCAATCTGAAATACTGTCTAGGGCATATCCAGATCCTGACAGAGAGAGAACTGCAGTTTGAAATCTTATCAGGGTTGGTGGGTTTGATTTTGGGATATTATTTTATGATCAAGAAATTCTAAACAGAGGCTTTGTACGTTCATATTTATATAATAATTTGCCGTTTTCATAGTGTTTTGTGATAGGTTTTTTTATTTGTTGTTTTTACAGTTAATCCAGGTTTCTTTAAAGCTGTTTCCTCATTATTTATAGCACTGTGCCAATGGAATGGTGGGAAAGCTATGCCTTATGTCACCACTGGTTAACCCTAGAACGTATCATTAGTTTTGCATGAAAAAAATGGCCAAAATCATCTTCACCGCACTGCAGCATATGGTGATCAATGAGTGTGATTTATATTAGAAGTGTGGGGGGAAAATACAGTTTGAGTGGAGAAGCAACCACAATATAACCAGACGAGGATTGAAAATAAATGTTTAAAAGGCAGTGCTAAATGAAGTTGCACTCTTTTCCATTTAATAAGTTCTTTTTAATTTGGCTATTCATACCCTATACCAGTGATGGCTAACCTTTTTGCCATCGCGTGCCAAAAGCAGGGGTCGTGGGGGGTCGTGGGTGAGGGTGCCCACATCCATAATTCAATGCGCCCCACCCTCCCACGCATGCGCACGTGACCCCCCCACACTTCCCCCTGCTTTTGGCATACGATGGCACGGTGGGCCCGGTAGGCCCATTTTTCCACCTCCCCATGCTCCAGAGGCTTTCTAGGAGCCTGGGGAGGACAAAAGCAGCCTTCCCCATCCCCCCAGAGGCCTTCCAGAGGGTGGAAACAGCCAGTTTCCCGACTTCTGCTGGGACCGGAAGGCCTGAAAATCAGTTGGCCGGTGCGCACATGCGCGCTGGAGCTGAACTAGGGCAACACTTGCGTGCCCACCAATATGGCTCCGTGTGCCACCTGTGGCACCCGTGCCATAGGTTCGCCATCACGGCCCTATACTGAACAGATAGGCAAGTTAAAAGCATTTCTTCCTTTTAAAATAATGACGAGAAGGTGTACAAAACTCTACTATTTGGGACAATACCAGAATCCATGAATCAATACAGTCTTCACATATTTACTGTATATTAGTTTTACATACTACTAATTTCTGATAAAATTATCTGGATTGTGGAGAATATTTGACTGAATTGGCTCATTCCTTCACCTAACAGCATCATCTTGTTTCCTTTCTGGAAAGCAAAGCTGACCTGTGCTTTCATTGATTCCTAATTGTTGAGGTAAAATAGCACAGAAAATAGAGTGCAAAAATATGAAATAAATAAATAATAAATAAATAAATAAGCAAGCAAGCCATATTTTCCTCAATACCACTGGTATTGTTTGACTATTTTATTATAGAAGTAGCCTAAAAGATGGAGTCCCATTGCTCTACAATAGTTACATTTGCTTTTGGATCAATTTTTAAAGTATAAAATTGCACAATTTCTAGTTATTTGCACATCCAGGCCATTAATTCTGTGAGCATTAAAGTTTAAATATTTAACTCTCTAGAATAGCTTTTATTATCTATATTTCATCCTGGGCTTTTTAATAGCTACAAAACCTGGAAAAAGTGAATGAAAATTGGGAAAACGAAACTATTTGAACTTTGCATGTTGACATTGTACAGGACCAAAACAAGGAATGCTGAAGAACATCCAAAGTCTTCTTGGCTCTGTGTCTTATTCCCAAATGGCCACAAAATCTTTCTTAATCCTAAACTTTGGATAGTTGCATTCAGTGCAGTTACTTGCAATAAGATGGAAATCTTTTTAAAAAGACAATGAAGAAGAAAGAAAGTCAAACACTCTTAAAAAAAAAAAAAGACTGCATGGCTAGTAGCAGAAGCTCCATTATATCTTCATAAATGTCAAGAGACTCCAAGGCTGGAATAAATTATATATTAAAGTGAGTAGCATTGCCAATATTCCATTTTTTCAGGCATTGGATTTACAAGTTGGAAATCAAGAGAAGTGAATAAATGATCATTTAATGTTATTTTAGCCCAGAAATTTAAAGTTAAATTTCAGTAGCTTGTAGCTATTTGTAGAAGTTGCATTTCTACTTACAGAATGTGTGGCTGTTGCATCTGAATTCAAATGCTTATTACTGTCATGGAAGAATAAATACTTCTTACCACCATCATAGTTCTACCACATCCTTATTCTTCAGCTTAATTTTTTTTTTTTATGTGCACTTCTTTAGGTACGTATCTGCCATGACCACGCCAGCTCGCATGTCTCCTGTAGATTTCCACACTCCAAGTTCTCCAAAATCACCAGCTTCAGAAATGTCTCCACAAGTCTCCAGTTTAACAATGTCTGTCCCGTCTGTAGCTGTCAGTCCATTTATAGAAGAAGAGAGGCCTCTCCTGCTGGTGACCCCACCCAGGCTGCGGGAAAAATACGAGCTTCACTTACAACAGTTCAATTCTTCTTACCACCACAATCCTGTCCATGAAAGCAACAGCCTACCACCGAGTCCCCTGAGGATAGTAGAGGACGAGGAATACGAAACCACGCAGGAATATGAACCTACACAAGAGCCTCCAAAGAAACTAGTCAACAGTCGGAGGGCCAAAAGAACAAAGCCCAATGGCCACATTTCCACTCGATTGGAAATGAACACTGACACGAGTTGTGAGAACAGTAGCTCAGAGAGTGAGACAGAAGACGAAAGGATAGGTGAAGACACACCTTTTCTGAGCATACAAAACCCTACAACCGCTGACTTAGAATCAGCTGCTGCATATAGGCTCACTGACACTAGGACTAACCAAGCCAGCCGCTTCTCAACGCAGGAAGAATATCAAGCAAGATTGTCTGGTGTAATAGCTAACCAGGATCCCATCGCTGTATAAAGGAGGAGAGAGAGCGAGAGAGAGAAAAAAAAACACTTTAAAAAAAAAACCACATAGATTCACATGTAAAACTTTATTTTATATAATGAAATACTCCATGATTAAATTAAAACAATTTATTTTATTTTAGCAATTACGCTATTAGGATTTAAAAAGAAAAACACAGGAGGGGGAAAAAACTTTTATAAATTAAATATATAATGTATATACAAAAGTGTTATGTGCCATATGTAGCAATTTTTTTACAGTATTTCAAAAATGAGAACGATATCAATGGTGCCTTTATGTTATGTTGAGAGCAAGTTTTGTAAAAGTTACTAGTGACTGCTGTTCCACAGTATTTTGCAGAAGTCTCCAACAGTCTGTTTCCCATCAGATTCATGCGACTGGCTATACGGTCTGTAACAGTGGGCTTCCCAACGGTAGCCATTTTAAGATGTCTGGACTTCAATTACCAGAATAGCCCAGCCAGCTGGCTGGGGTATTCTTGGAATTGAAGTCCAGACATCTTAAAATGGCTACCATTGGGAAACACTGGTCTGTAAGAACTGCAACCGCTCCCTGTCTTGCTTGTCATAGCTCTGATAAAAGAAAAAAGAAAAATCCATACTGATATACCAACCTAGAAACAAAACATGCTCATTTCTTCTTTGAAGAGGCTTCTATTTCCTTGTGTTTTATGAGTTGCTCTCTGACAAAAACAAGATTTATTTTGGAACCCTTGAGAAAATGGGTAGGTCCAACAGCCTGCCGTTTTGTTTTGTTTTGTTTTGTTTTGTTTTGTTTTGTTTTGTTTTGTTTTGTTTTTGTTTTGTTTTGTTTTGTTTTGTTTTGTTTTGTTTTGTTTTGTTTTGTAGGATAATACAGCTTTCAGAAACATAGAACTATATCCAATATTAGATACCACTGTAGGTTTGTCCATTTGACTATAATTACCCAAAAATCTATTTGAATTTAAATAGGAGCTATCACTGCTACCACCAACAACCTTTTCACCAAGGCACACATGGGTATGCACGCACATACTTTTGATTTATGTGACAATATTTCCTAGATGTTTGCAGTGATTTGACAGAAACAATGGGATCCAATCTAGCAGGAAGTTCTTCTATTGCAAGCATCTTTTAAATTAATAGGATGGGTCCAAGAGCAAGGAGTTTCTTGTTTTGGTGTCCTTTGTATAGGAGAATGTGCTACTGGATTATCCTGCGTTAAGTAAATTGAAGTAGGTATTTTTAGCAGGTATTTTTAGACAAGACATCAAGGAAGTGACTAAAAGCAAAGGAATGCCCACTGCTAAAATTACAGTCATTTTGAAACAATATTTTCAGGTAGAGCACTTTTTTTTTCACTTTAAATTGGGACGATCCATACCAAAAATAGGACTTCGCAGTGGATTATCACTTCCTGTGTACTTAAATTTTCTAGTTTACATATGGATGGAATCCAAATGTCGTAAAATGAGCTCTGATAGAAAAAGATAAACATGTTCTGTATGCCTAGTGACCTATTACATTTTTTACCTAAGTATTAGTAAGACAAGCATGTTTATACTTCTCAGGCTCCCGTCATGCATGGGTTTTTGTTATATAAATATATATATATGCATGTGGCCAGAAATAGATAGAAGCCGCCTTTCTTCGAGGCATGTTGGAGAAACAATTTGGACATAAGAGCAAATGCATTTGTTTAAACTCCAGATTGGCCCCATCACTTAGGAGGGTTCTATTTCTAGAGCAACAACATCGAGGCAGGTGAAGGAAGCTTGTCTAAGTGAAATGTATTCCTCGGCGGAGAGGAACAGGAGGAGGGAGAAACAGAGTGCTGTGCTGCAGATAGGAACAAAGTAATCATCTATGCTATGATTTTCTCCCCCAAATATGTAACCTCTTGCCCTGCTTTATGCATCATTTGGGCAGACTAAGTTCAAACAAACAGGTCTGGTATTTAATTTGGCACCAGCAGCAACATTACTGCAGCTTCTTAATTCACAAGCCAGTAATTTATTTTGGAGACCTGAATCTGGGATAAAATTAGACTTGATTTATATCATACTATAGAGCGCAGCCCAGAGGCCAAAGACTAGCAAACCTATTCTCTTAGCCTGCCTAGTGGTGGCAATCATGTCCGGTTGATACTGTTTTGAATGAAAAGCAAAATGGCATAAAAATTATTTTATAAAAAAAATCATGCCCATTGCTCAGATTTGCTTAATACTGGTATCTTCACAGAAGGCCTAATCTGGAGAATGTTAATTTGATTACAGAAGGCTAACACGGCAATCCTAGTCCTATGTATTGGAAAATAATTATACAGTAGAGTAGACTTCTGCATAGCACTGGATAGAATTGTGCTGTAAAGTGGTATTTACATTTCAGAAGCACCAGTAAAACACATTCCTATGATGCAACATACATTCACTCCAAGTTTCCAAATCATTATATTGACTTCAACTGGATATTGAAGCAAACTCTGGTGTTGACTTCTGATTCATAACTTTATATGTGTTTCCTAATACTCACTTACAGGCTTCAATTGCATTCCCTTTCTCTTGACAAAATCTGGGTTTTTTCTTCATTGCAGAAGAACCCCCTAAAGCAGGGGGTGTCCAACCTTGGCAACTTTAAGACTTCTGGACTTCAGCTCCCAGAATTCCCAAGCCAGCATGATTGGCTGGGGAATTCTGGGAGTTGAGGTGCCCAGGTCTCAAGGCTGACAATGTAGGGCATTCCTGCTCTAGGAGGTTCTTATTTCAAAGCGTTTTCCAAATATCATAAACCCTTTTCCAAAACTCGGCTATTTTGTAGGAACTGTTTGGCTAAGATGCCAAATATTCTAAGAGAAGAAGAAGAATGGGCAGGGACATTCTTTCTTAAGCATAAAGTTGGACAGACCAGAGAAAGTTTTCCGGAATGTTACCAATCCTTGACATTGAATGTGGACTCCGCTATTAATATGCATACTTCTTTCAGTAATCTTTCTTCAGTTTTCTGATGTTTCAGAGTCATTAAGGCTATTGTATGTAGGCTATTTGGGGGGAAATAGTGAAACACATGTACATATTTCATTTAGAGTACTTGATAGAGTATATTGGGGCTCCAATATAAAAAAACCAGAAGAAATAATTTCGGATTTCAGGAAGACTATTCCGACTCTATAGCATATGATATAGATTAAAAAGTTTTCAGAAACTGGACATTTCACCAATCTTATCATGTTCTTCCAATAGTCTTTTGCACATATTCTTTACTTTTAAATACAATAATACATTCTATTCCTGCCAGGGCAGAGAATACTTCCACTACGTTAACGTCCCTATAACCTTTAACTGTCTTTCCATTCATTCTTCCAAAACTAAAATGCACCTATGTGAGACTGTCTCATGTTCTCCTTTCTGTGCTTATCAATACAAAACTGATAGGTGCATCAACCTGATCTCCCTGCATTTTGGGTGCACTTCATCATTCCCAAAACTTTTCTTGCAGTATTGAAGGTGGGATCCCCAGAGGAACCTGGGGAGAGAAAATTCATGCATTTTGATTGCCTTGCCTTGCTGCTGAATCTCACTCTGGGCTAATGAACTGGGGGGGGAAGCACTTCTGGACTCTTCTCACATTTGAGCCTGTTGCCCTGACATTGATTCCCTACTAGATATTTCCTTTGAGTGGAACTCAACACCTGGTGATTTCATAAGCGTAGGCAAGGATAGTTCCTTTGATTATAATATTGCATTTTAAAACATGGGGAAACAACTAATGTGGGCAAGGGAGAGAGTTTAAATCAATGTAATATGGCTTTAAGGAAGATGCACTGATCAGGATTGCACGTACATTGAAAAATGGCTCTAAACCAGTTATAATTCTACCAGAAAAGAAATGCAATTAAATTAATGGGGAGTAATCATGTAACTGCTTTTAAATTCATTCAGCTAAACTTACATTTAAATTAAATCAACTTGAATTTTTGCTCTGGTCCTAATTCTTTATTTTACGCTGGGTCCCTTCAGACTTCGGGTAGGGTAACTTGAGCTGGCCAATGCAACCCTCAGTCCATAATGAAACTATGCATGCCCTGTTGTAATGGGTAACACTACTGTGCCACTTAGCTTAATATCTTACTCTGTTAATTGATGTGTCCAGATTAGTTTGTGCATGAATATTGCTTGATTTCTCATCATTTTGTAATGCACAGTTGAATGAATTGTGATAGAGTTGGTTTTGGACAATAAGAACATTCCATCTAGATAATTAAGCTGTGGACAGTGCATTTACAGTTATAAATCAATGCTGCATCCATGACAGATAAGTGTTAACTTCAATAGTATTGTGAACAATAGCTATGGGTTATAAGCAAGAATGGGTTACAAGCCATTCCTCTCAACGACTCCCATTTCATAAAAACAAATCATTATGTAGAAATATCCAATGTAGTCAGAAAAATACAATTGAAAGGCAATTTCAATTCTCAGGGCAATTTTATTTTATGCATTCAAACGTTATTCCATAGATGTATTGAGCGTGGTATTTCTACTCACTTCTATTCAATCTTTAATTTTGAAAAAAAAAAGTTATGTCAAGTGAAACAGCAGTCAGAATAAAGAATTGCTCTTATGAATGTAGCTGATGCTCAAGTTCAGTTCAGACATCTCATGATAAATACTTTGGCATCTTAAGAAAATACACCAATTAACGTTCTAGATCAGATGCGGCGTACATAGAACAGGGTATCCGGGATCTCTGCACATATACATTTTCATCAGCCAATAATCTGTTTCTTTGTAAGCTAAGCCATGTTAGCCACTATTAGTGGCTAATGGACAACTAATAATGTATAGTTCTTTTTTTTTAAGGTTGAAGTATCATCATGCCCATATTTTCCCATGGTTGATATCAAAGTATGGAGTGGCTACTTGAATATTCAGCAAGATGTTTTGATGTCTGGCTAAGTTGCACATCTTTAATAAGCAACATAAACAGAGTCTGTTTTCGGCTGAATTTTTAATAGCCATGATGACTGATGCTCAACCAATCTGAAATGCTGCAGAGAAATGCAGGAAATGCAATGGCCACATATCATTTTAAGTATATATTATTTTTGTAAATACATCTTGTACATACTTGGATGTTCCATCACAATCATTTATTGTCTTTATGAGTTATATATCCAATATAACAGTGTAAATAACACAATGTTCCTTATTATTTATGTTTAAGTGTTTGGAAGAAAAAAGAAAGTCATCATTTTATTTTAAGATATATGTCAAATATGTTCGGTTATCCCTTTCCCCCCTTTCACAACTGTAATGTACCCTATATTTTTTTCTTTCTTTCTTTCTTTTAAAAAGAAATAATTTATTGATCCAGAAAGAATGTATTGTAATGGAATTGTACATAGAATGCAGAGTGGAAGGCCATAAGGTACTGATAAACTAAAGATTCTATAATCCCAAATATTAAGCA